TTTCCTCCATAGCATATGAAGATAAATACAAGGTTTACAGGTACATTACAACAAGTAAATCAATTATATGGATATACGCATATGGTATTATGTGTATGGTATTTACATATGTCAGAAATTATACACATTCATCTTCTGGCGCACCTTGTCATCTTCCGGTAGAACTCCACTAGACAGATACGTAATGATAGCATTGAAGTAACTGTCTTGTCGCTGTGACGTTTTGAGAGTGTCACATGACCATAACCGTGATGCAACAGAAGCAGCCTTCTGGTTGTCAAGGTTACAGTTGGTACTTTTGGACATTTTGGATTGGGATATTCATGAGACACACTGTTCCGTGTGATGCATTTCACATTGAAGTATGGTAGTACTTCCCAGTTAGAGTCTAACTCATCACCACTCTCTTCAGCACCATATTCACGACGACTTACACCATCAGCATTACCATGTGACTGTCCCTGGCGATACTTGATATCAAACCTGTATGACTGCAACATGGCAATCCACCTGGCAAACTTGCCTACAGGTTCCTTCATGGAAAATAAAAACTTCAGTGCAGAGTGGTCAACAACAGCAGTGAACTTAGAGTATCTCAAATAACTATCAAACTGCTTCACAGAATACACCAAAGCCAAACATTCTTTCTCTGTGATTCCAGAATTATTCTCAGAGTGTGACAAAGAACTTCCAACATATGAAATCACACGCTCCTCTCCATTTTGAGTCTGACAGATAACACCACCTACAGAGAATGAACTTGCGTCTGTATACACAGTATATGGAACTGATGGCATGGGGTAAGCAAGTACCGGTGCAGTGATGAGTGATTGCTTAAGTTTATCCATAGCATCTTGACAATCTGAAGTCCAGTGGAAATTAACACCTTTCCTGGTAAGTTCATATAACGGTGCTGCAGTCTCTGCATATCCAGGAATAAAGTTGCGGTAATAACCAGACAAACCCAAAAAGACTCTCAAATCCATCAAACATATTGGTGTGGGATATGTTGAAACAGCTTCAACTTTGCGTGGATCTGGCGATATACCTGTTGAACTTACAATATGTCCAAGGTATCTTATCTCAGACTGAAATAGCACTTTCCGCTTGGAGGCGATCAAGCACTTCTCTGATGTGTTGTAGATGATCGTCAAAGGTATTGCTAAATATAATAACATCGTCCAAATACACCAGACAATGTTTCCAAGATAATCCTCTCAAAACTGCCTCCATTAATCTCTGAAACGTCGCTGGACTATTCTTAAGTCCCATAGGTAAGCGTCGAACTTGATATAAGCCAAGATGACACCTCCACGCTGTATATGGTCGAGAGTCTGGATGAATCTCAACTTGGTAGAAGCCACTTTTAAGATCCAATGAGGTAAAGTAAATGGGATTATCTGTACCAATACTTTCCAAAACATCAGAAGTGGTTGGTATCGGGTGGGCATCCAAAAGTGCGCAATCATTCATCCGGCGAAAGTCTGTGACAAAACGAAAAGATTTATTGTCTTGTTTACTTACAAGCAGACATGGTGCTGCCCAGGGACTAGTAGACTCCTCTGTGATGCCTTGGTCAAGCATATCTTCCACCATACGTTCCATGACTTCTTTCTGTTTAGCGCCTAGTTTGTATGCACGTTGTCTAATGGGAGGTTGATCAGGTGATATCTCGATACCTTGTATTAAGAGATCACAACACCCAAGTTTGTTGTTTGCTCCAACAAAAGAGGATTCATATTCTGAGAGCAATCGCTTAAGTTGAACAGTTTGTTCTTCTGTAAGATCAGAGGAAATATTAGTGTCAATCTGAGAATGTTCAGTCTGTGGATGTTGAGAGCCATGGCTGGTTGTATGCGAGTCATTTGTTTCATTTTCCCCTACCACTGTTGAAATAATGTCTTTCTGGGACAAACATACAAACTTTCCAACCACTGAACCCTTTGGAATAGTAATTGTGTCATTGGAGAAATTACACACTGCTTGATACACTTTAGAATCATGTACTTGAGAGAGTGATTTTGCTGTTAGCAAATCTGTGGAAGCTAACATATTTGAACTGGTAACAAGTCCATCAACACAGTCTGGGAGTGATGTCCCTTTGATACGTGTTACCATGACAATTTCCGAACATGGGGGTAGAGAAACGTTACCGTCCGTAACAAGGTACCGCCTTGGATCCATACACATGGTGCCACTTCCAAAGTCAACTTTCACATTATGAGACCAACCACAGCATTCCACAAACTGTTGATCTCAGTACCAGCTATTATGAGACGAAGATAACCTGTGCCGACAACACTAACCTTTTCATTGTTAGCTGTCACAATAAACTTGTTTTCAAACCTTTCATTTAAGGGACCTCCTAATTTAGCAAATGTCTCATCATTTATCACACAGAAATCTGGACCACTGTCCAGTAATGCAAATAATTTCAACCTATTTACAGTCACTTGTACAAAATTTCTCAACAAGCTACATTCTGTGTGCAGAGATTACCTATTAACCTCCTCTCCCCTCCTTTCAAATCTCCAGCGAGCGGGGAAGTATCACTAGAGCATACTAGTTTGGATGATTACCCGAATTGCCACGGGATTGTCTCTCTGACAAGCAGTGTTTGGCCAATTGATTGAACCCATCACATTGGTAACACTTTAAACCTTGTGGCTTGTCCAGTCTTGACTTACTTGTGTATCGGTAACACTGTCTGGCCTCATGACCACTTTTACTGCACAACTGGCATACTGTTGTTGATACGGCAGCTATGGAGGGTGGTTTATCAAGGGACAGAGACTTCAATTGATCTTTCAAAGCTGACACTTCTGATGTCAATGCGTCTATGGCTTTTTTGTTTACCTGAAACTTTCGGGAACGTATGATACAAGTCAAAACGGGGAGTAGCATTGGACATCATTTTTTGTCACTGATGCACCAAATTTGGAAAATCCCTCCTCATGTTCACCATACAACGTTTCAAAGCTTTGCTGAAGAAATGTTTTCGCTCTTGCAACGCCATCTGGTTGATATTTTGTTGTCCTCCCGAATATTCATGCAAATATCTGATATAGAACAGATGAGGAACCTATATTGGCCACTTTCATTTCTAGATGTGATAGGTTATTGGACGATATTAGATCATCCATGTGCCTTCCCCATCTCCTGGTTGGGATTTTAGTGGTGCTTCATAACTGCCAGTGTTTATCAATTCCCCCCGATATACTCCGTAATTCACGGACTGTGCTCAAGTTTTATCCATTTGTGAACAAATTCTTATGCATTGCGGATTCTTTGAGTGACATTTTAGAAGTTCGGACATAAAACATTGAACGAACTTTATGGATAACAACTTCTTTTATTTCGTGAGTGCAACGTTTTGATACAAATTCTTGTACCTTTGTCAAGCATGTTATGCATGAAGTTTGTTCAATATAATCCTTATCCTTAATCAAACACACAACTAACATTTTCACTTGTTCATTTTCTAATCATAAATGGGAAAATAAACAAAAACAAAAATGGTAAATAATATAAGCTGTTATCAATGGGCATGGATTAATTATTACACAATGACTGTGTTCACATACATCTGACATAAAACATTGATATCCGATAACTTCATTATAAATCAATCAAAATTATCCATTAGCAGAGTTAGGAATCGATCTATCTATCTATCTACTCGTTGTACCCCTAAGTCATTCCTTCATACTCGATGTCATCATCACCCTAAATTAGAAGAAATGAGCATCAATTCAGCTGAACTAGCTGATATAAACAACACACATAACGACTCTGCGTTATAGACACATATCAGGCCTGTTAAAGTACATCTAAAGTACACAGGCTAAATATCTGCGCCGATTAAAGTGCCTAAGAGACAATTGGTCAAACCGGTCCAAATTCCTTTAAACACATCGTTAAGTATTCGAGTTAGGGACCGTTCATAATTTATGGCTTGGTGTGTGTGTGTGTGTGTGTGTGTGTGTGTGTGTGTGTGTGTGTGTGTGTGTGTGTGTGTGTGTGTGTGTGTGTGTGCGTGCGTGCGTGTGGTGATTTTTATGGAGGAGCATGTACAATGTGAATGTCCCAAAACGTGAGTACATTTATTTGAGCATTGTAGGATGGGTTGGAAAGTTGACTTCATTTAATGATATCCGTTATCTCTGCCCGTGTGGAGCATGAATGCATATTAAACAGTGTACAGTAGTCCATACGTCAACGTGTCTTGACTATTGAAGACAGTGGTGGATCCCTCGATAACAAATCTGATGACCTTCTTAAAAGATTACTCCTTCTTCCTGATCAACCTTGGCGTGCGTCCTTGACCATCTTATCAGACAAAACACACAGGCATATTGTTCCTATTCGTCGGGGTTGTTGTTGTTGTTGAAGTTATGTAGTGCATGTATCTCCATGGAATTCTTATTCATGAGCAAATTTAAGGATTTATGTTTTGTTCGATCATGTGGCGATAAGGTGATTCGTACACAGATGACCCGTGAAGATCCTGGTTAGAATATTGATCTTCAGTAACCCATGCTTGTCGTAAGAGGCGACTAACGGGATCGGGTGGTCAGGCTCGCTGACTTGGTTGACACATGTCATCGGTTCCCAATTGCGCAGATCGATGCCCATGCTGTTGATCACTGGATTGTCTGGTCCAGACTTGATTATTTACAGACCGCCGCCATATAGCTGGAATATTGCTGCGCGCGGCGTAAAACTAAACTCACTCCCTCACTCATACACAGAGGTGCTCAATATACTACCCAAAGGAAGTTACGGAAGACTCGATTCTTCTTAGGACTGAAGATCATCTGTCATGGTATTCGTTCATATGGAAAACATACGGACTATTAACCTCTTTTAAGTAGTACATTCAACATGTCTGTGATAGATAAACTACAGCCACGAAAAAAAGCGATGTTCTTCAACTTCTTTGAGTAGTATAGTATGATATTCAATAGCTCATAGCAAGTCAGCATAAAGAAACTCAGAAGTTACCCGGGGACACACATATTGAATGAGTTGTTGGTTTTGTCAAGGAAGTGTATTGAAATTCCAGAACACAGATAATGTATGACATAGGTAAACAGACACACAGATTGAATAATAAACAAAGGCGAAGTAGGAAAGCATTGTATTGGGATTTTACAGGCCGCTTCAAGCATAAATCTTCACCGTTCAATCATACGGCTTTCATGTATACTGGACAATAGAATCTGACGCATTGTGTCCAAACCTGATTCATCTGAACAATTATTTTTCAAAACAATCGGACCTACATTAGCTAAAGTTACCCACCCACTTGACAAATATCACGTTAATCCGAAAGCGAACATATTTCCCCCATAGTTCAATTGTGAAAAGCTTAACTGGTTGTGTCTGAGATATCACAGTAAGAGCAGCGTATCGGAAGCAGTGGTATATACATTTACCGTAAATCCAGCGTTAGCCGCGCTACTGTTACTGACAGAAATTGCCGTTTTGGCCAAACTAGAGCAACAATAAGATTTGTTCCTTGTGAAGTGTTGTTCATGACTCTGTTAGTATCTACCAAGTCCTAAATGCCTGTTAGTATTGAAACTGTGTAAATGTTTGATAATGGTAGCGAGTCGGGAGTTGGATGGTGCTATAACTGGAAGGAAAAACCGTTTATGTTAAGTCTCATCTATGCACATATAATTCTAAATATTAAAACCTCCAGGAGCAAGTTATAAAACAAAATTTCATACAATCCCCTTTGAAAAAAGTAAAATCTAATATGAACTAGCACATGATCAAAGGGCCATTTGAGATCATAAACAGCCGACGCTTATCCAATGATTTACGGTATAACAACACTTACACTACCGAAAGCTAGCAAAGACATGAAAGCGGACACGCGTGTCAAATAGATACATAGCTAACAGATACATAGCTACTTCTACCTTTGGCGAACGTTTTACACTAAAAACTTCAGCATACGAGTCAGAGACTTCATTTTACAACTTTCATCGTTCGTGCTGGTAACGCATTATGTATGATATTTTTGATTGTAGTCACTAAAGGCACAAATGCATATCTTATGTAAGTAAAACAGGGGATTCCAACTTAATCTTGCGAAGCAAGATCACATGTAAAGAAATTTAATCATTCTTTTGTTAGTGACAAAACGATGCATGTATGTATGTATGTATGTATGCATGTACATATGTACGTATGCATGTATATATGTATGCATGCATGTAAGTATTATAGTATGCATGTACGTACGTACGTACGAATGTACGCATGTATGTTTGTAAAAATGTATGAATGTGATGATAGTGTCAAAAATACTCATGTCATTATATACACCTTAAATATGAGGAAAGCATGATGCCGAAATAATATTTTTGACATCAAAGTACATGTAAATGGTTTCTTCTGTGTACGCACGTACGCACGCACGCACACACACACACGCATACATTCACGGGCACAGACAGACACATGCACACACGCACAGACAGACATAATAAAACTTTAAGTGATCATAAAGCTTCAGTCATGGATAATTTAAAGCACAAATGCTGTTCGTTGACTGTACGAATTATGGCGGTAAAACACATGGCTCATAATTTACCCTCTTTACTGCAGGTAACTTGCGGTTCGGACAGGTCAGTCATCATGTGACTGATTATCAAGACTGTCAAACAGCTTGTCTCAGGTTCCGGGTTGCTTCAGATAACACATGATTGTAATCAGTCCTTCGGATACAGCGTCTTCAGTCACTGCATGTGTTTCCGTCGTTTCTCTTAGAAAACTGTCAGTGGGATTGCGTTAAACGACATCAACAAAATCATCACTGCAATACCGTTTCATGATTCCATATAAAACATGGATGAGAAGCATAAGACAACATATAGGATTATCCAGTATGGCGCACGCGAAGTTGACATTGCAGTGTAGTCCTTCTTCAATACCGGGCTCCGTCTACAATTCTTCATTTTCGTTTATCTCTTTCAGTGGTTTTTCATTTGGATTATCGTCACTTCCGTTACTGAAAGTAAACATCTGCAAGTTGCCCTTGTTGGACTTGGCCGTCATGGGATCTAACTCACTGGAGGTGGACACTGTCCGAGCTGGACTGTTCCCCAGGTCGTAACTGCTGGCTGGACGAAAGTAGGGGCGCTTCTCGTGGCGGATCTGTAGGCACAAGGAAACACCATGGTTATTCTTTCACTATGAATGCTTGTCAGAGAGTGAGAGGGCTGTACGCTGTTTCAAGCATTTCATTCAAGGCCGACGTGAACCGTTCATGGTCACAATAAGCAGAAATAGGCGCCACATATTGTTTTATTTGTTTATTATTGCTCAACAATATTCCAGCTATATGGCGATGGTCTGTAAATAATAGATTCTGGACTAGACAATCCAGTGATTGACATCATGAGCATCGATGTGCGCAGTGGGGATACGATGACACGCATCAATCAAGTCAGCGAGTTTATAAACGATACCGTTAGTCTCCTCACCCAACAAGCATGGGTTGTGAAGGCCAATTCTGACCAGGATCTTAAAGGAGAGTCACACATGGTGACTTTACGGGGACTGGGGAGAACTTTGGTTGTCGGTGAGACGAGCGAACATACACCTTAACTAACCTGTCACAGAGTTCAAGAATAGTTCGACCCTACGCCTGCAACCCGACATAAAACCCCACATATGCAAGGACAATTGTCTAATATCTCCTTTATACTCACAGCCGGCTCCTCTTCGCCTCCCGGTATAAATGGCGGGCGCCGCCGTCTCCTGCTGGAAATATGAAACAAATATATCGGCGAGGAAACCTAATTGTAATGTTGATGATAATACTGAAGTCATTGTAATAGGTGCAATCAATTAAAGACTGTACATGATACCAAATATACACATCTATTTACGGAACTGTGGAAGACATGACATGACTGTCTCGCTCAATAACATCCCGACCACCTCTCAAACATCTTTGTGGGATATTAAACGAACCCGATCTGTTCTGATATTGGATTTGGTGGCCTGTCTGCATATATTTACGGAACATGAAGCACGGTTTGAATCGCGTACAGTAGCTGTAACTCACTGTAGTGCACTTGTCGCCAAAGCCTTTACAATAAAGCCTGTTACAGTACGAACGCTATCACGTCATTTCCATACTTGGTAACCTGTCGTTAAAATGAAACTACACAGCTAGGCATTACCTCTGGATGCAGTATATGAATATATGCAGGTATTATCTCTGGAAGCATTATATGGGCATTTGTGTGAATTACCTTAGGATGCAATATATCGGTATATGCAGGTGTTACCTCGGGATGCAGTATGTGGGTATATGCAGGTATTGTCTCTGGATGCAACATACGGACATTATATGTGAATTACCTCAGGATGCAATATATGGGTATATGCAGGTGTTACCTCGGGATGCAGTATATGACTATATGCAGGTATTATCTCTGGATGAAACATATGGTTTGGTTTGGTTTTACACCGCTTTTAGCATTGGTCCAGCAATATCACGGCGGGGACACCCGAAAATGGGCTTCACACATTGTACCCATGTGGGGAATCGAACCCGGGTCTTCTGTGTGACGAGCATTATATGGACATTATATGTGAATTACCTTAGGATGCAGTATATGCCAGCTATGATGATCGCTAAGCCAATCACCGCTGCCAGAATCCCAACTACTATCTTCAGAGTTGTATTCTCCGCCTTGAGATCTGAAGCAGAAAAGCAGACATAAATGTACATATGAAGTCATCTCGGGTGTATATCAATACGCGCAAGGTATAAAAGGGTAGTGAAAATGAAACATTGTTATTTGTCTAGCCATCCTCAAGTACTAAATGATTATCACATTCGCTGACGAAGCATAAATTAGTTATTCAGATATATTCGCATCAGGTACGTATGTAGTTAAATGTATATTTTAAATGTTAAATGTATTATTTTAATTAATAATATGCACAAAATGAGACGTATTTGAAGTTCCTGAATCAGAATACACGTGTTGCAAGTACAATGACAGAAGCACCGGGGCAGACATGCAACGGTGACCAGGTGGCGTGTGGCTCTGGACAAACCAACAACAGGCATGGAACAAGCTGTAACAAGGTATCATCAAGAAGAGGGATTTTCTTTGAACTGAATACATGAAACACTGATGAACAAAGAGGGTTTTGAAAGGCTACATGGTGATGAATAAGAAACAAAGGGGTGAAAGTACATCTTCTACTATTCATCCATGAAACCGTTACAATTATTGAAAGAGAACGATGAACTTACTCGACACAATGGAAATTTGAATGCAGCATAATTCATGTTAAATTGTAATATCGTGATGACATAGTCCTAAATTTACAAACTTACAAATTAACACAAACGGTTATGACTTCATATACATTAACATTATGGAAACATAATGACCAAGGTGTAACAGGTGGCAGTGTATTACTCATGAAACGTGAGGTTTGTTATATTTAACGAAGATGTGATGGAGGATGCAAGAGATACACACAAACTGAAATATGTTTGTGGCAAGCAGGTGGAGTGGTGATAGCAAGAGTTCATTTGGCGTACTGAAGCACTGGTGAGAATCCTTTGATTCGCCTATGCAAACAACAAGGCAATGCCGACATCGTGGTGAGACAGAATAGGTTGAGCGGTAACGACAGTGAAAGCTGTAATGACACGTGTTGCGAGTTGGACACATGTTGGGGCTGAGATGAGTCATGTGACAGACACGTGATGCAACATAAACACGTGTTGCGGAGTCACGTGATTGTTCCAACCTCCAACAATCTTGTCAGTTTCCCCTTGTGTTTCTGGAGATGTGGAAGTAACCGGTTGACCATCAGCAGGGGTGGTACTTCTGTATGTACCAGTTGCAGTTGAAGCAGCAGGCGCCTCTGTTGTAGAGGCTGATACTGTGGGTGGCGTGATACTGGACAGAGGCCCAGTGGAATCAATGCTCGTTATGGTTGTGGCTGTTCCCACTGTCGTGATAGTCGTGCCGTCCGTGGAGCTTGCGGTCTTTTGTGTTGTTGTGTCTGTTGTTTCGGAGTCTGGGGTAAGAGACTCGGTGCTTGTACTCGTTCCTGTTGTTGCTGAACAAAATGAATGATATGATGCTGATGATCTATGACGTCCTTGAGATATGTCAGACACGTTGTATACCTTTTAATCAATTGTTATGATAACTGAAATAAAACGGAGACATTTCTTCACACAATCAATATAGAGTTAACTTATATTAAATAATTCATATCAACATTTATTTTTTCTTCACGATATAGTGAACATGTAATAGCTTTCATCTGTACAAAAAGTTATGTTTTCCTATATATACTTCCCATCAAAAGTTTAGACTCACTAGTATAAATATAAACACTTACTTCAGGCAACTGTTCTAAACTAAAGTTTGCAAATTGTTCCATACTGTTTAAGGTACTGTTTACACATGGACTTATGTATTGTAAAACACATTTGTAACGTTGAAAAAGATTATTTTCATGAGTTCAAGAAATGATAAAATTCAGTGAAAATTGGCGAATTCTTAAGAAAACTTTACATCAAAACGCAGCTGTTCACATGCATGCTATTTGCACATGCTTTTCTGCAATTTGATGCATGATCCTCGTGCAATTTGCAGTTGGTTCCCCAAAGTCAGTGGAAAAATAAATTTTTCGATGTAACCATATATACATAGACATAACGTACAGTGAGTGTTTTCAGTGATTCTAAACTTTTGATGGGAAGTATATAATGTCAACATAATTAGCAACAGTAACAAATTATGACTTGGATTACATATAAAACTAGCAGAGTGTTGTGTTCCGTGCAGCGGTGACATACTATACAAATTATGCATGCATGCACATGGATATGTTTCGGTAATCAAGCAGGACAAATTGTGATAGTGTGAGAGCGTCTCCTTCAGTAGACTGGGAATACCATTGTTTCACCCATGCATGCGATACAACCGTGACGACATCGTGGTTACAGCGAATGGAAGAGTGTTACCAGCAAAATAAAGCTCTAAAAAGAGTAAGACACGGGTTGGGGTTTAGATTGGTGCTGTGATATGGACACGTGCTGCAACATGAACACGTGTTGTGACTAGGGCGTGTGATCAGTCCACCTCCATGGCTTCCGGAACCCTGGCCAGTACTCCCCTCCATAGCGCCAGTTGTTGGTGTAACGGACGGTACAGAATGGTCGGGCTTGTCTGAAGACGTTCCTACGGACGCTGGTTTACTAGATGAGGAAAATGATGACTTTCGTGAGGAGGAAGATGATGAGGATGTCCGGGTATCGGCTGCAGTCGACGTCATCCCACTGTTGACGTGGCGCTGCTGGTCGCTGTTGATGTTCTACTACTGCTGGAGCTATTTGCAGTTGAAGTCGTCACTGCGCTTGGGGAACTGCTTGATTGCAAGGGTGACGTAGAAACAATACTAGTTGTGGGCGTGGTTGTGACCTCTGTAGTGGAGGTCGTGCCACCCGTGGACTTGGTTGACGTCTTGACGCTGTTCGTGGTTGATGTAGGCACTGGAGTCTGTGTTGTTGAGTCTGTTGTTGCAGACGTTGAGGGAGGAGATTGGGTGCTTGTGGTCGCTATGGTTGTATTGATACTTGCAGCTGAAGAAGGAACCGATACAATCAAAGATGACATTTGTGACGCCGTTGAAGGCGTTTGTGACGTCACCGATGACTGTGATTGGGTGTTACCACCCGCAGGTGTACTACTAGATACATTAGATGTTGATGGTGTTGATGGAGATGCTGATGTTGGCGCAGATGTAGGCGCAGCTGTATGAGATGTTGAAAGTACAGTCTGGCTTGAAGAAGGCTGAGCGGTTGAATTCGTAGATTGAATGGTAGAAATTGACGTTGATACTGAAAATGCAGAAGGTATGATACATGCCTGTAAGGCTTGTTAATCACCACATACGTGTTGCAACACTGGACAAGTGAGTGAGTTGAGATTCATGCCCCTTTGGACATTTTTCTAATTCCATGACGGCCTGCCATCTAAACGTGGAGTGAAAACGTGAAATGACGCAAGCCTGAAATATTCGGCTTTTTGGTGAATCCTACAACCACAGCTACGGTCCTGACAAACCAAAAGCATAATTGGAGCGATGGAGCGTATCGGGACTCAAACACATGGCCATAAGTTTCTGGACCCAACAAAGCAGGACGTGGCGCCTGTGTCAACTGGGACACCGATTCCCCTACTAGAAGTCGGAAGTTCAACTTTAATGATGGGGGACGGGAGGGGTGTCGTGTGTGTGTGTGTGTGTGTGTGTGTGTGTGTGTGTGTGTGTGTGTGTGTGTGTGTGTGTGTGTGTGTGTGTGAGAGATATGACCTACTGACATACACTGAAATTAGTTGACGTCGATTAAATACGAATTAACCCAGCGTTTGTATTACATCACACACAGATAACAAAAGCATATATCTCATGGCTGCATATAAAGCAGTACCTAAATTTCTTCTCTCAAATTATAAAATCTCAAGTCAAGTGAAAGACAAACTTGAAGTAGTCATCAACATTCCCGCATTGTTGCCATTGTTGTTCCTACTGTAGACCTATCGTGACCTACCATGATACAGCTCCACTCTAACGCTTTACTGATGATAAGGACTACCATGAAACCTCCAGAAACTTCACAAATTACAAAATACCGACTACAACCACAAATATTGCACATATACAACTACGATCTACCCACTCAGATAACGATCGTGTTACCATCGCAGGCCAAATATCACATACTACCATGTGACCATGATTGCATATATACAACAACGATCTACCTGCTCAGGTAAGGATCGAACAACTATCGCACAACCACCACAAACTACCACAATACTGTGAATGCACAATGCCTTTCAGAAAGTGGTCAAATGCAACAAATGCTATATTAGGGATTACACTTTCTCAGTAAAGTATAGATTCTGGTACAATTTTAGAGGTTGAGTCCCATTCGGGATTCGAACACTAACTACCACAGTACTACCATAAACTAAGATAGTGCCTCGCAAACTTCTATGACACTTTGAAATTATTGCGTAATGTTGCCAGCCAACCGCAACAGTAATGCCAAAATATCGCGGTATTTCCGCAAAAGTCCTGAGCAGTTGTGCGTCATTGTCATGAAAAGAATATACAGATTACTATATATATCAAGCATTAACATTAAAAATAAAATGAATTTTGATACTGTTTGCTGAATGGCATGGACCTCTGCAAACTAACCTCACCTATGTTTGAGCATGTATAGTTATCTTACCCGTATCTTGGCTCATTGCTGTTACGGCAAACGACGTTAATGTTGTAGATTTCTTCGACGTTGTTGGAGATGGGGTAGTTGTAATCGAGGTGGACGTAGTCGTTGTTGGGGATGTAGTCGTGGTTGTGGTTGTAGTCGTGGTTGTCGTCGTGGTTGTGGGTGTAGTCGTGGTTGTGGGTGTAGTCGTGGTTGCAGATGTAGTTTTGGTCGGAGTCGTCGGTGTAGCTGTAGTGGTGGGCGTAGTTGTGGTTGCAGGGGGGGACGTTGAGGACGGTGTTGTTGGGGCTGCTGTTGAAGATGTTGGTGCCTTATTTGTCGTTGTTGATAATGTGCAGCATGACGACACCAACACTGAAGAAATCAAACAAAAAATTCTTATTATCAGAAAAATGTAAATTTCATATAAATTTCTGGACAGATCTAGTCTGACATCCAATATGCAACTCTCTGACATTTACATGAATATGAAAGAAAACGGTGGGTCATCATCTGTGCTTCAGGGAATCAGACCCGGGTCTCCGGCTTGACGAGCGAACGCTTTAACAATTAGACTACCCCACCGCCCCCATACGCAGAAAACTGACACTTGTAAGGGAGTAAGAATATTTTGGAACAGTTGAGTAAATGCTTGTATCGATACTGATTATATTTAACATAGAATAACGTTAGTTGTGGCTATCTTAAATCAAAATACAAAATCTTACATCTAGCAAACGGGAAAGTTACCAACCAGGATATAGAAACACATGTATAATATCAGCATTAATCTGACTGAATTAAACAAAGTGAGCAAACATCCTGAAGAATTAGTCAGGATTCAACACATTCATTGATCTGTTACCGGATGGCCCGCAATAGCGACGTTGGTTGCGCCAGGCTCCCAGAGAGTAAAAATTAATTTCGGAAAAAGTGTTAACCATCCTGCCTATAGATCAAACACCAGTCTATCCGACACTGAAGAATAAGTTCAATGTTTTCTTTCAAGAATGAAAAAACCCAAGCTTGTTGGAGGCTAGTGACAAGTTTGTTTTAATTGTTTTTATTTATTTTTGTCCTTATTGTGATACGCTTTATGTAAAACTGTACATTCTTATCTCAGTAAAGTGCCGCTCATACAGATTAGGCACAGTGGGGTAGTCTAGTGGGTTGAGCGTTCGCTCGTCAGGCCGGGTTCGATTCTCCACATGGGTACAATGTCTGAAGCCCATTTCAGGTGCCCTATGGTGAAAGACGCCACTATTGCCTGTGAAGATTTACGTAACTCAAACACGTAAGAACCCTATGATCATGCGTTCGAATCCCGTGGTTTGGGGTTTACCAAAATGCTTAACACCTGAGAACTATGGGGTCACCATGGGCACATACTGAGATTCAGTCTCTCCACATGGACCTATAAGAAAGGGCATTATACATGCACAGTCAGTAAAATGTACTGATCACTTTAAAATAACTTCAAAGAAACCGGAAATAACAGGATCATCGAAGTTATTTTCGGGTCAATTGTTTTCGTTTACTTTTGTCATTTGAAAACTACTCACCAATAAACAGCGTCACTAAACACCTCGTAAGATCCATGTTTAAATGAAATCGATGTAAATCACGTGTTCAAAGTCGAATTATATCCTTGTCATATATTCAAAGGCTGTGTGACATCCATTGCTGTCAAGGATACGTGGTGGCAGCGGCAAAATACGTCAGAGGGCAACCACTTCCGGGATACAGTCTGAAAGTAAAGATAAATGTTGACGTAATGAAAAAAATCATCACACTAATCACCGAGTAGAAAGAGTGAGTGAGTATGGTTTTCAGCAATATTCCGGCAATATCACGGCGGGGGACACGAGAAATGGGCTTCAGGAGATGTACCCATGTAGAGAATCGAATCCGGGTCTTGGGAGTGACGAGCGAAAGCTTCATCCACTAGGCTTCCCCCCCTCCACTGAGTAGAAAAAATAATAGGCAGCAAGACCGCACAATTCAAAAGTAATATCATTCTCATAATGTATTTATACATTATAATTTGAATAAAGGTGCTTTCAAATATAACGTTATTATAGTGAGTGAGTGAGTGAGTGAGTGAGTGAGTTTATCGCGGCTCTGGACAATACTTCAATTATATCGCCGAAGGTCAACCTGAAACCTGGAGGACAGCCCGCGGGTGTAACACATTCACCGCTTTGGCAAAGCCTGCAGATACGCGAATGGTGCAGACGAACATATAAATATAATCAGGTTGGATTTGGGATTCGAACCCAATCTTAATTTTGAGGCACACCTAATGGATGTAACTCTGTATACTAAATTGTTGCGGCAAGGGCTGCAGGGTATGCCCACCTTCGATTATCATAAATGAATTGTTTATCCAACAATAATACAATAACTAAATCATGTTAAAACAGCGTGAGACCCGTGAAGATCCGGATTAGAATTGGTTTTCAGTAACCATATTTGTTCTGAAAGGCGACTAACGGGATCGGGTGGACAGACTCGCTGACTTGGTTGACACATGTCATCGCATCCCAATTGCGCAGATCGATGCTCATGCTGGTGATCACCGGACTGGTCCAGACTCGATTATGTACAGACCGCCGCCGTACAGCTGGACTTTTGCTGAGTGCGGCGTAAAACACCAACCAACTAAGACGACGTGAAGGAGACACACTAACGGCGTGTCAGTCTGATACACACATACAGTACGATATTACATTATAAGGTTGTCCCACACACAACAATGGACAACAACAATACAATGTGATACAAGGAAACAAATATATACGGTGTCTGACTGTGCATACGAGGGGTGGGGGGATGGTGCAGAGTGGTGGGGGTGAGTGCGGAGTGGTGGGGGTTGGGATGGGGTTGGGGCGACAACAATGATATTGACGTTACGGAGAAGCTTATCAGGATCAAACAAAACATTCATCCCATTGAATTGTTTTCATATTCCTCATTTTTACGTCCTTCCGCATAAGTAAAATGTCAGGAAGCTGATGTTATGTTGTGAAATAGTTCACCGTCATTAAAACGGGTTATATTACATGTACACTGAATGTAGCGTACCTGGGCATGTAGCGACACCGATTCTCAATATACTGCTGAACGTATCTAAACTGACGTATAAAAGAAAGTACACACCTGGATTTTTAAAAACATATTAAAAACAACGACAACAACAACAAAAACCCAACGTAATTATTTTGAAAAGTGTTTCCATTTGGACTTTCTTGTCACAGACACTTTGCACGTGATACCGATACCACAGATATCGTACCCAACAGCGACGTTGCCACGGTCCTATCCGGATTTATATCCTTATCAGAAGTTGAGTAGTGTATCAGTATGAGATAAACAAATTTAGGGATGCACAATGCAGCTGGATAAGACAATTAAAAAAAAAAAACAAAAAACGTTATGACTTCTTTGCAGCTTTTGAGAGTTTTGCAGCATAAGAAGAAATTGTAATGTTTGGAAGTCGGTTCTTATTTAGTTGTTTGGTATTTTGCTTGTTGGTTATGCCTACACAATAGTCCAGCCATATGGCGGCTTACTAAATATTATGCGTGGACTAGAGGTGAGGTGAGGTGAAATTGGGTTTAACGTCGTGCTTGAGAATATTTCGCTCATATGACGACGTACATGCGTGTGTGTGTGTATGTGCGGCTGCTTGTAATGGCCCAGACTTAAAGCTGGTTTAATAGTGCTAGCCCACTGAGATACCATGCCGCAGTGAAGCATGAATACTCAGACACATTATACTGACTCCGAGCCGACCAGTCCTTGTTGTACCCATTCATGCCGAGCGCCAGGCAGGGACGCAGCACCAGTTTTACCCAGATATCCTATTTCTGACACAGGCGATACATCTAACAATATGAATTGTTTGAGAAGCCACAGATATGTGGCCGGCTGAGCGACGGTGTGGCTCCGTACACTTGCTTGTCGTAAAAGGCGATTAAGGGGATCGGGTGGTCAGGCTCGCTGACTTGGTTCACGCATGTCATCGTATCCCAGTTGCGTAGAACGTTGCTCATGATGTTGATCACTGGACTCGATTATTTACAGACCGCCGTCATATAGCTGGAATATTGCTGAGTGCGGCGTAAAACTAAATGTGACACTTATGCAAGTCCATCAATAAGGGACATTGAGCGAAGAAATCGTGGAGCTTCTGCAGAAGGCACGGTAGTCAGTGGTCCAGGTCAGAACAGGCCTTCCAACTTCACAAATGCATTGAACTCTGCGTATTCAAGTCATCCTTCTTGAGAATTGTGGCTGATGAATGGAGAAGTGACACTTATAGTCACATTTTAAGCACCACAACACTCTACTTTTCTCTTGAAGATACATGTTATGTGTTTACCGCTAACCAGGGAATTGTGGTGAGGACTGTTGTTCCACATCTTCGGTGTACACATGAAGAGGCAGACACAAGAATCATTTTTCATATCTACAATATCTGCCAAGATTTGAAGAAAGCACACATATCAGTGCGAGCCTCAGACACTGATATCCTTGTACTTTTGATTCATCACATCCAAAGACTTGATGGAGCTCACATCTGGATGGACACAGGTCACAGCAGCAACAATTCAAGGAGATACATAAACATTAATGCAATTGCCAAGGTCATTGGGAAAGGAGTGTCTGACTCCTTGCTTTCATTTCATGCATTTACTGGATGTGACTATACTTCAGCTTTCGTTCGAAAGGGGAAGGTGCGCCAACTTCAACTTCTGGAATCTTTTGTTGCATTTCAGGCTGCATTTACATGTCTAGGAAACACAGAGGAGGTACCTTCACATGTTGCTTCAGGATGTGAACAATTTGTATGTGCGTTGTATACAAAACCAAGCCTGTCCAGTGTCGATACTGTGCGCTATAGTTTGTTCAAACAAAGATACGCTCCAGCACCAGGCTGTGGTCCTTTAGACAAAATCAAAGGAACAGATGCTGCTGTATTTCCTCCTTGTCAAGTATCGTTAGTTAAGTGACACAAAACAAATGAGTAGCACATTTCCAGACCCTGAAGAATCAGATGAGGGTGAGGCTGGAGAAGATGACAGTGACTCTGCTACTGACGCTGATTATGATCCGTGATGAGGTTGCCCTTGCATTTTGACAGAAATACCAAAATCTAAATGTGAGTAGTCTGAATTAGCTTAATAATTTTAAAACTATTACAGGTGTGTGTGCGCACGTGTGTGCGTGCATGCATGCATGTTTTACTGGCCTGATGACCTGTTTTGTATCATGAAGAAATGTTGGTGATTAATTACTCTTTAAATATATGTCCAACTACATGTATATAGACTAAAAAGCAAGTTATATGTCTTTCTGAAAACCACATTTTACAGAGTTATCTCCCCTTGAGTGATTTTATAGAATTACCCTTACTGTCTTTATCTTAGATAAAACACTAACCCTGAGTGACATATGCATTTTATTGATAAATTTGAATTCCTTACACATTTTTACATAATTAAAAGCCTTAAATACTGCATTATATTATACGTTAGTTTCATTACAATGGACTTCAGGTGGTAAAATGACAAACAATTGTAAATCTACGAAGAAAAACAATATGTCATTACTCTACATACCACACTGTTAAACATTTTATTTTGTAAAATTACACATTTATCTTTCTTCTTTTCATTGCAACCAGTTTGGGGGAAATACTGAGTATTTGTAGTTGGGAAATGGCATTTAAAAGGATGCAGCAGTTTACCTGAAAACAATGCTGAGTCATCGCTTCAACACCTAGCAGGCTAAAGCCACAGCTTTGATTTGTAAGACTGAAATTTTTTGATTCGTGAGGCAATTTTACATCAGAATACATGTTCAAACCTTTTGGCATCTCTCGGTACAAAAATCACCACCGGCATCTTGGACTAAAAGTCACTCACTCACTCAGTGATGCAAGGAGCGGCATGACTTCACATTATAATAGTTAATATGTCACAAAGTAAAGTGATGACATCACATGTGACGTCATGCAATACAGAGGTGTGAGAAGTACAGTAAACTCCTGTATAGTGTAATAATGTACAGGTTTGCTCTAAACTATTATAACGTTAAAGCACTCGGCGGAATGAACTGTTTTTCTTTTTAAAGACACCAAATGTATTGCCCTCTGACTATAAATCTAAGGCACAAAACACTTTTAAAGTATAAACGAGTGTGTGGGTGTCCAAAATCAACATCCTCGTTCCGGGCTAAATGACGTGCTGTTCTATTGGTGTGTCTGTCCCCTCCGTTAAGATACACGTTGCAAATGATAAAACAAATAATAACACGTTTAAAGACGATATACGTTAACGTTGAACATCTCTTTTTGAGTAAAAGTGTTTATTGTGTAACATGGGGCAATATGAACGTTGTGTCTTTACTTCCAATATGTGTTTAGATCACTAGCTATAGATGAAGCTGACTAGTCACGTGATATTCCACGTAATGTTTCCTTCAGTGATATTAGCCGACGGAAGCAGCTATGTCAATAAAACGGAGTATTATCCCACTTATTACATTGAAAGAGGCTGAACTTTTATGCAATGACATTTGGCGTACGGTTACCAAGGGGGCAGATTAGAATGGCGTAGTGACGTCAATTCAGTGTGACGTAATGTAAGTACGGTCGGCGTCTTTGATCTTTTAGCGAAGCAACTTCGAATTTGAAGTACATGCAAAAGTCGATCAAGGAAACTATTAATTACGTTAAAATTA